CCTCACTTAAGGGATTAAATGTCCTTAACTGTTGTTTTTTGCAGTCATGTTAACACCTACGTCATCAATTCAGGAAACTCAGCTTGTGGTTACACGCATTCCCTGGACACTTTGACCAGTGATTTTAATAACTTTGAACCCAATGCAGCTCACTGAATTTCTTACCAAAACAACACACTTGTGGAGAAGAACAGATCAAAACGTTAAAAACATGTTTATGCAGCAAGGAAAGTATATTTCACATTTAATATCAATACATCCAGTCGAAGGTTTGCTTTTGACCCAGTGGCTCAATTTATCAGTGAGCTTCTCTGCGTGATTACGGGTAAAATTCTAGCAGCGTGAGCTTAATTCATTTAATAGCAACATAAAGCTGGGTTTTCACCTTGAAAGACGTATCATATTATTCCTATATTGAATCTTAGAGATCAAACTGTACACTTATAGACTCCTGTCTGTTTCCTAGCAACTTCCCTGTTTGCACAGCATTGTTTTAAAGAGTTGGGGAGGGGGCTGGTTGCGTCGTGTTAGCTCTGAGATGTCAGGTACCATAGCAATTTTCAACAGGACTCCCTCAACCCCAACTCAAATTAATAGTAATTTTCTTTCCATCAATGGGATCATCATCAATTTGCATTACAATGGAATATGTCAATCAAAAGTAATTCTCCTGAAAGAAAAATGCCCATTTTGTAATCCACAGACACCCCTTACCTTTTATAGGAGGAAAGAAAATCACTTTTCAAAGGGTATATTTGCTTGGTATTGCTCAGAAAGACCTCCACTATTAACTGATGGAAATACAATAACTTTTTTGATAGAGGTTGAGCTTTAAAGACGCTTAATTAAAATGCTACTCCTTGCTTAAAAGTGATCCTAATTGAAAATTTTAAATAAACCCAGTTTTTATAGACCTGTTGATTGTAGTGGGGCATTTAGCAGCCAGCTGTTTCCTTCAGGGCTGGAAGAGACACAAAAAAAGAGCTAAGAGAAGATTGAGCTTTCTACATCTAATACCTGACTGTACCTGATGCTCCCAATACCCCTTTATCTCAGCTAAATGTGTAAAAATAATTACAGTTTCTTTCTTAAAAAGTAATAGTTTCTAGCATTCGTCTTGATTTGAGAACTTAATTTAATGTCCTTTGCTTTAGAAAAACAGTTTGTTTCTCACTTTGGTTTTAGTTCGTATGATCAGTAGTTTTGGTGAGGTCAAGTTAGGTTATGTGTGTTATCTTTTTGTGGAACTTGATCACTGCTCAAATTGATTTCTTTTTTTTTTTTGTCTACTGCCAAAAGATGTTTCTGGTGATTTTTTTTTTTCTTACGCACAACACTAATAAGTGAAGCCAGAAATGTGAAAATAGTTCTGCTGAAGGAATGGCAGTATTCTCAAAGGACTTTAGATGGAAAGTAAAAGCATACGGTTTTGGCACAAGAGCTTGCTGATCAAGAACCTTTTGGAAGAGCACATTGTGTGTGCAGAGTACTATGCATGTATTTGCACAGATGCACAGACGAAAGTTATGCATAATGCATCATCCTACACCGGGCAGCACTCACCCGGGTATCATGAGTCAGGGTGAAATTACCTGGCTGCCCCATACTCTTATCAGAGAACGGTAATGATTTCAAGGTGAAGCTGGTCAGTGGTGTACGTGATAATATATTTAGGCAGACCACTGTTGTGAACCATCTGTAGATCCCACTCAGTGCCCTGCAATTCTGGTAAGCAGCTGGAGAGCTACAGATGGCTGAGGTAGTGGAGCAAAAGAGTGGGGTCACAGTGATGAAGAAAGACTTGCTTCTTCTATTATCTCCTGGTCCTGGTGAAGTGAAAGCTGATTCTTGTTGCACATCACAACTCCTGTGGGATTGTGTCTTCTCATTTGTATTATAGATGAAACAGCACTAAGCTGAATTTTTCCACCGAACTCTGGTAGGGAAAGCTTTTAAAAGTATTGACTTTAATGGAAAAAATCAAAAAGACTGTGTTATTGCTGTGGACCTTGATGTCATGTAGCTTTGTGTAGGTCTGATTGCACTGTTCATACGTTTCAAGTCAGTGTGAAGAGCTGTGTAAGAAACAGTGTGATAGGAGCAGCACAGCAGGGTTAGCGTTAATGCTCCAGATGGCTCTCTAACATAGCCAGACTTCAGCTTTTGGGACTCTCTCTCTTGCCTTGTTCTGTAGAAATGATGCAAGTCCTATAAAGGAGTGTATTTCCATATATACTTTGTTGTTTTTATTGCTTAAGTGTGCATGGCTAAGCTAATGAATAAATGCGATCTGTTCTTACTGTGTTTTCACACAAAACAATTGTGGAGCTAAGAAGAGACCCAGACATAGCATGCATATCATTGGCACTTTCTACTTTTGACGTCACCAGCATTTTACCACGCCTGCCAATACCCATTCATACACATAAAGGCTAAATGACTCAGCTTAAGACTTTTATAATATTTCTGCTGTCTGCGGCAGTCGGATCAATAACAGTATCAGTTCACTCAAAAAGTGGGGAGCTGAAGCTCAAAGGTGATGTCACCAGCATAAGGAAAAGAGCAGCTCGACAGAAAAGAGAAGGCAATTGGATTATGTAAGCAATAAGCGAGTTTCTTTCCTGGGGCTTTTGATTTTGATGTGCTTTATATTCATGATCACAGTGCTGAGTCAATAATGATTGAGCTGCCTTTGGTCACCGCAATAAAATGTCATTTGAGGAACATTGCAGAGTTGAGGTTTGCTTACTTCTGTCGAGGCTGGGACAAAAAGGTTCTCCCAGAAAACTGATACATTTGAAGTGGCAGCTTTAAATTGGTTCATTTAGTGGATTACTATTGTGCAGCATTTAACCTCTTTAGTCTTTTCCACTTTCGAAACTCAGCCTTGTTTGAAATCAACACTAAAACATTTATGTTCTGCACTTCCTTTGACTCACCCTTCAGTGCTCAACATCAACCATCTGGCACTCCTTTGTTTTCAATCCTCGTGTCTAATGTTTTTTCTTCTAATTTCTTCTCTATTCTTTTCATTTGCATTTTAATGTTGTAATTCTTTTTTTTTTAATTTAATTTTTAAGTGAGAGCACCTTGAGTTGCCCTTGTGTAAGAAATGCACTACACAAATTAACTTGTGTTGCTTTTAAGTTGCTAGCTACAGTAACACATACACATAATGAATGGGTGCTTTAATGCACTACAAGTAAATAGATGATCCTCTTAAATGCATCTTTATCAGTTTTTACACAGTAGTTGGCAAAAGTGCAGTGCACACAAAAACTGAAATCAAATCGATATCTGTGTGAGCACTTTCTGCCTTTTCATTCTTAACACTCTACGGCACTCAAGGAAAATTCTGCCAGTGTATTTGAAATGGCACAGGCCCGTTCATTGAGTCATCGATTCAAAGCAAAGATATGAAGGCTATAAACCATTTTAAGATACAAATACCAGAGACGAAGCAGCCGTAGCAGTTTTTACTTTGTAATAACAGTAGGTACACAGCAAAATGGTGGTTTCTTATGTTTTCTGTCATCTCCGAGGCCACATACTTGTTGAATCACTATGTGCTGGGCTGTGTTTTCATCATAAGAGAATAACAAACAAAGTGCTTTCAAGCTTTTAGTTTTGTTCAGTATAAAAGTGGGCGGATGTTAAGGGGATAAAAAGTACACTTGCAAACAATGTTTCAAGGTGTTTGGCAGGTTTTCTGTGGCTTTAATTAGGGGATGTCATTCATTGGCCACACAGTCTGATTTAATGTCAAGTGGGCGAGAAAGGTAAAGTCATTACACAATTACCTATACATAAAGAAATTTACATATTTCCATACATCTATGTAAATACATCCATTTAATATCAGATGCTGCACAGCCTGAGCTGTCTTAAGAAACGTCATTTGAACAATATGCCTCTCTTCCCCCTGCACTTAGTCATTCTGCTGTCATTTCAAAGAAATCGACTGTCATCTTTTAACTCAAAGAAGCTTTGCTCTATGGCTTACCTTACCTAACCTTACCTTACCTCTATATGGACATAGGCCGTGTCTTTGTCAGTGGATGTAGAAATGATGATGACTTAGATCTCTGAATTGTACGAAACATTTCAGAGCACAATTTAAGATACTGGATTCAAACTCGTCAACTTGACACTTCATGGTTCCTGGTGCAAAATACAAAGATAGTCCAGTTTGTATTCTTTGGTTTGTTCTTCTTATAGCTGGAAATGGTTCTTTAGGAATCACTGCATATTTGGTGACCAGACTAGTGATGGATTCATATCTAAAGATCTGAAGTGCCTGAAATGTCTACTTATAACACAGTCATGAGCCTGAATTTGCGTCATCAGAGAATTGGGGTTACATGCATAACCCATAACCTATGGTTCACTGTCTTCACATTTGCTGGTGTCCTCTGTGGGCCCATGCTTTTGCCTTTTGGGGTTTCAGTGTGTTATAGTGGATATACTCTATTAAATGTTACATTTCATTCCAGTTTTATTCATTGGCTGAACCATATTCACACTGACAGTGACACAGCTTTCCTCTTTTCCGACGACTGGTTGTCTTTTTTAGTTACAATAACAAAATTGCCCGAGGCCCTGCTCCATGTAGTAACAGCAGCCTGTGTTGAGCTCTTAAGTTAATATAGACTACTTTATAACACAGGTGTATAACAAGTGATACACTTGTGCAATTATAAACAGAAAGCAGCAGTAGATGTGTCACATTTAATTGTGCTCCAGACCACAGAGAACCTATCTGTGTCATGCAGACACCTCTCACCTAAAAACAATGAACCACTAGAGTGAAACTACTAAACCGTTTGGGCCCACATTAGTCAAGTATTGATTTTCAAGCCTGTCATTTGAATACACGACAGGTGTCCAAACAATACTGTGAGACAAATACTTCAAAGCGACTGCTTGATTTAAAACTTGCCACAGAGAGAAGACATTGCATATAGCCTCTGTCAGTAATGTTGTGCTTTTCTTCTTTTCAGATCAGTGCACTGTGACAAGGTCTTATCTTTTCCTTCACAAGTTCTGGTTCTTCAGCACCATCTACTACTTTGGGAACTGGGCTTTTATTGGAGTAAGTCCAAAGATATGAATGAGATGTCACTGTCTGCATTTTGAATTTATCGCTCAAGTCCTCAGCTAAATATTTTCCACATTAGCAATGAAATGAGCCTTGATATATTTTGTCATGTGTGCTTTCATTGTTGTTTTTAGGCTTTCCTCATTGGTCTGGTGGTGTCCTGCTGCAGAGGGAAGAAGTCTGTGATTGAAGGAGAAGTGGAGGCCGATGACTCAGACTTCAGTGATGATGAATACGTGCACTGAAAAAGCAGAATCACTGTTCACTTGTGTAGGTTTATAGATATCATAACCAACACTGAAAAGGGACTAGAAAGCACAATTTCATTAAGTAATGAATACAGATTTTTTTTTTCTTAAATATATTTTGTTTATTTTATTGTACACCTATTTCATCTTTGGTTGAAGTTGACGCATGCCTCCCCTTAATTAGACCTCTCAACTGTATTTCTCCGTCAGTGTTACTAATGACAGGATACTGGAAGTGTTCTCCAAGTCAGTCCTACCTTAAAGTTAAAGTTAACTGTTAACTGAAATAAATTGGTTGTTTTTCAGCACACACATTTGTGAGTAGCAGCATAGATGCTTTTTTTTTTTTTTTTTTTAATCTAAGCTTTATTTGTGTAGAGCTCAGGTCTAAATGTGCTTTATAATCTTTCTGTATGCTTTCTAGACCTTTTACATGGTTTGGTTATCTACATATTAAGTTAAAATTCCAGTCGAACCTACACAAGCTGTTTCTGAAAAGCTAATTGGTATAAGAAAGACTAATAAATCCCAAGTGTTGACAGCAGTAGCACTTTTTGTCAGTTTATTTTGCTGATTTTTATCTGAGGTTAAAAATAGTGCGAGTGGATGCGCTGCATTAGTTATTGGCAGTCTGGGACCGTTATGCACAGTGAAATGTTACTCTACTTGCATACCTGCACTCTCTGTGTGTGTGTGTGTAATGTAAAGGACCAATTGTCTCTGCTGTATTTTCAAGGATTCAGTTAATTGTGGTTTTAATTATATGGGTTCAGCAGCTTTCTTCTCTTGATTGGTAGGGAAATAGTAAAATTACTAGAAAAGATAGAAATAAAAAAATATGGATGTGACTTTCTTTTTAATGAAACTACTACTTCTCATTTTTGCCTGCACTTGAGAATTTATTAACAGCAAAAGTGGCAGATCTATTAATGGGCTTCTTTTAGACATACATATTAAAATCTTTGCAAGGTACTTATCTGTTTGAGGAAGATGATGAAAAACCATAAATTTACTCTGGAAGCCAAGTGCTTGTGCCTCATGAATGTGTGTGACCATGATGGGCACACAACACTGGATATGCTAACCTAAATTAATCGCTCAGAAATCAGCCAGAATGAGTTTGAAATGTTTTTGTTTTGTTTTGGGTTGTTTTTGGTTTGATATTCGTGTTAGGTTTGTTGTCCTTTTGTGAGAATCAGTAGAGGGGATGCAGTGATGTGATGGTGATGATGATGACTGAAGCTCCATCATTTGTATACTTGCTCTTTATCGGTTGTGGAAGTTGTTTGAATATATAACGATGCCTGTGTTTAAAGAAATAAAGCCGTTTTAAACCCCATCATGGCTTTAATGCCTTTTTACATACAGTTTGTGTTCTCATTGAAACTATGTACGCCACTTTAAAACAAGAATCACCAATCTGCAAATAATAATGCATGTGCAAATGTCAATATATCGTTTTTTTTGTAATACTTGTTACATGTTTCCCCTCATGCAGTAATAATTTCAGATGACATGTTTGTAAAGTATAAAATATAAATTACTAGATATTAAATATGTGAGAAATGTGGGATGTATATTTTCTCTGTCAAGATGAACACACACTGTTTCATTAATGTTGAGGCCTGATATTGTTCCATTGTGTGTTTCTGTATCAAGGCATGCTTTTGCTGCATTGACTGTGTGTTTGGCAGTGATCCCAATAACACACTTTCCAGATGGTATTACATGGTGGATCAAAGTCTGCATTCGTAAGTCCATCCATTCTGACAAAATCTCACTGGATGAAATGCAACACAAAACAATGACAGAACTTCTACCGTGCTGTACAAATGTAGACAGTGTTGTACCTCTGGCCTGCCCTCATTTCATACACTTCAAATCTGGATTCATCTCCCCATAAGACCTGATGCAGTTCAGTTCTTGTGTAATTTGTCATATCTACTTTCTCCTTGTTTCCCTCTTTACACTATAATTAGTTCATTTCCTTTTTTTAACCCGTATTTCTTTCAAATATCGACTGTTCCTCATCAATAAGGCAAAAGTATTTTCTTCTCCGCTTACTTGATTGATGGAAGAATTCATAGAATACTTGATTACTAAAATAACTGATAGCTCGAGCCCTGTGATGGACTAGAGCTATCAGCAAACTGCCAAAACTGCTTTTATAGAGGGTCTCAAACTCAATCAATTAATCATGTGTATTTGATTTGCGGATGTTCTTAGTTTTTGTTAAATAAATAATGACAGGGTGTTAAATGTCATGTTTTGGAGTTTATCTGAGTTGTATTTACCTCATTGTAAGACCTTCTAGGGCCCAGATAAGGCGTAAAACCTTAGATTTGAAATAGGTTGTACGTTCTTTTTATCTTGACTATATTTACTCATATGTTTAATATGTAGTATGTCCTGATTTTGTATGTGATTGTACTGTCATCTTGACAGTGCCAGCACATTTGGGGATATAATTTCCTTGCCAGAGAGACAAAATGTCACCACTGGTAATTCTAGGTTGGTGTGTGAATAATGGAGTTTGATAAACCTGAAAACCTCATCTACCAAAAATGTATTTTCTGCAACATGTCGACACGAATCAGAGGCAACAAGCAGCCGGGCTGTCAGAAGACACCAAACAAGATGCTCGGGTCATTGTGCGCCGAAAAAGCTCTGCTGGCCTGCCCTTTCAGGTCTCCCAAAATAGAAACAACCAACCAAATAGGGTGATGAACAACAAAAAAATACATCTCAGTACATATAGCACTCACTCAAAGTTTCAGGATAAGTCAGATCCAATTCTTTCCAACTCCTTTCCACAGCCCAGTGCTCGACTCTGACTATATGTATGCAGTGTAGTTCTTTGCATCACCTTATACCTCATGTTATGTCTACAAAAAACATGCAGTGTGGATTTTATGACGTCTTTCATAGTGTAAAGTCCGTCTTTAATATAAAAGGATTGAAGCATTAAAAACTGTGCAGCACATTATTGTATTTGCTGACTAATGCTGGGACAATTATCAGATTGTGGTCCGACACAAGCAGGAACTCTGAAGTTTATAACAATCAGGAATTCTGTAAACATGAAAGTGCATTCTGCATTGCCACCACAGCAATATTAAACGTTTTAGCATAATAAAGACGTGTATCAAATTAGAGTGGCACTTAAATACATTCGCCACTGGATTAGGATAAAACTGCGTCAGATGGATTTGCATGGAATTTTGTGTGCATATCCAATTAGAGTTTGAGGTATGCATACCTTGTCATAACTATTGTGCAAGCCTGCTTTGAGTTAAGCCATTATACGATATGCCACCCCCACATTTCACTAATAGACTAACTAAGCCTTGAGCCAAAAACACGAGCCCGAGGACCCTAGCAGAAAGGATCGTGTGATCAACATGTCAGATCAGAGGATCTGTCGCTGTTTAGAGCGCAACTTTTCTTGTTATCCCTCGTATTCAAAAGCCAGTCTTGTCTCATCTTCTTTTCTTTCTTTGCTGCACATCTTCCAAAGCTCCACTCACAACTTTCTTTGGGAAAACACTTTAATAAAAAAATGAAGGAATTCATGCAGGAAAATAAAACTATCTTGACATGGAGCTACAGTATCAAATATACCTGAAGGTCATACATGTCAAATGCATTTGATCATGTTTGGTTTTGTCTACAATATGTGTATGTGTTCATATATTGCTATAATCTCCATTTGATTTCCCTGTCTTAATAATTTGCATGTGTTAAATGTGGGCTCATTCTGTAATTTAAACCAATAAACTTGTCAGAAAAATGGCAAAAAGAAGCAATCAAATCTTATTTTAGAGTCGGACAGATACAAAATCTTAATTTCTCGATTCATTACATCCTTGCTTGCATAAATTATTATATTTGCTTCCAAACCTGGAATATTCAAACAAAAAACACAAAGGTAACCCAAACAAGCTGGCCACTGTTTGGGTCTTTTTTCACAAAAGGCAAATATGATTTTGTGGAGAACTGCAGGTACCAGGAGGAATTAGAAAACACTGCAGCTATTGTCATGGGCCTCTGTACCCATCATCGCTCTTACTGCTCCACACAACAACAGACCTTAGAGCATTACACAGTGCATGGCAAGTACCTGCCCAAGAATGTTCCAGAGTTTTCTTTTTTTACAAGCTTTCAAAACTTTTTTCTTTACTTCCAGTGCAACTGTTGTTTAAAGTTTTCAGCACAAAAGTCTTCATATTTTGCTTCCAAGGACCCAGACTTCCTTTATTTTTTTAAGTGATCTCGAGCTGTAGTTCTCCGAGCTTTCTGAGTTGTTCAAAGTCTTTCAAAGTTTCTTTGGACATTAGCTGCTTTTTCACTCATGTAGTTCTTGATACCGATCATTTTCAGACATCAATATGTACAGTCAGGAGAGAGGTACAACAATGAGTGTGTACAGCCATCTGTAAAAACATGCTGGAGAGATTGATGTGGCTCAGAGCTGCATTTGATGGAATAATAAACTCTGGAAAATGTACCATCACATTTTGATCCATCATGAAATTCCATTATGAAAGCACCTGATTGGCAACAGCTTCATTTTTCAGCATGATGGTGATCCCAAACACACAGTAGTTTGCAGTAAATGCATTCCTTGATAGAAAAAAACAAGTCATATATAAGTCATAGACTGGCCTCCCTAGAGCCTGGAACGTGGAGCCACAGAACTATTCCTGAAGACTGTCATTGCCTAAGAGAGTTCACACTGGGCAGAAGAATAAAGTTGGTCATACAAATATTGCATTTCAAACCTGTTAGAATTGTACTCTGTTTTTGCCTTATATACGATATTTCCAGTTATATTTGCAATTGTTTCCATAATTGCTGCACCTCTATTTCCTGGCAAAATATAAAGAAATGAGAGATGACTCAAGACAGCACTGTATATGTGGTGCCCGAGCTAAAGTAACAACGCCAAGTTTCTAAATAACGACATGATAACACAGAAATTTTTTTAAAAAATTAATATACCTTCAAATCTGTAAAAATTACAGCCAGGTATTCCAGATTATGATCATAATCTCCTTAGAGACTAACAGGTCTGCTCTGGGTCCTGGTGGCCTTTTTGCAACCCAAGATGTTGGACAAACCTTTGCTTGGCTTTTAAAAAATACCCTCAAATCATTTCAAACCACTCATTTCTCTATTATGAAGATAACCTACAAAGTGTGTGGATTTCAAATTCGTCCAGGACTGACTGCACCAGCAAATTCAACCCAAGAGCAAACCATCTGCTGTTTTCACAGCAGTCTTCAGAACTATTCCTGAAGCTCACTTCCTTTAAGAAGTCTTCAGAAAAGACTCTTGGCTACCAAGAAACCAAAAAAGAGAGAAATCATCACAGAATTTTCAGACATCTCCTGAAATTGTAGGTTTCAAAGGACATGCGTCTCCAAGCAGGAAGACACTTCACAAATTTCCCCTGCATAAGAGACCAGGAAGAAACACTTTGCCATCTGAAAGAAACTTAAAACAAGAGTTTGACACAAACAGGCAAAGAGCAGAACTTTTGGAATATGGATTGTGGATTGACAAATCAGTGTGGCCACAGTATCATTTAACATTTTAGAAGAATAACCTGAAATCCTCTGTAAAGTGTGGTGGGCAAAATGTTAGTGTTTCTGTTCAGTTATGCAATATTTATATATTTCAAGAATAACCAATGATTTCCATGGGGTGTAGAGTTCCTTTTTTTCAAATCACTGTATTGGCTCATTGAAAAGTAAACAACACACAGACCTGTATGTTTAAATATCACAACTGTCCAAACATTGCACCATTTTTCATTTTGATTTTGTCCTTCATAACTTTTGCCTGGATGTATTTTTCACTTTTTTTCCTTTTTTTTGTGTGGCCCCAAGTCTTTCCTCTGGGCTCTAACTCCTCTGAAAGGCCCTTGATAGACGAGCAGTTTGCCTTTCCCCTCAGCGATGCCTCCAGAGAGCAAAGTGACACAGGATCAATGTAATTATGTTGATTCAGTGTTTGTAACCCCAAAGCAGGTTAACCTCAGTGCTCTCACGGGCCTGTGGGACCTGCCACTCACTATCGAATGAAGGCTCGTCCAGCAGGTCAACATATATCAGCTTGATTTAAAAACAACTAAATAACATCACTTTCCACTTCCAGAGACACGGAGCGTGAGCAGGAATCAATGTGAAGCTCGTGTATAAAAAAATCAAAATACCCTGCAGGATTCTCACAAAATGACTGTCCAAGTGTGAAATATTAGAAGTCATCATCACGTTCTTACCCATATTACTTTCATTAACTGAGCCAAAGAGAATCTCTGCCAAAGCAACGCTTCAC